ACACGTTCACTGTCACACGTAGGCTCACCGACAGCGAAAAATTAAAACATAGCAGGATATTCAATTCCTAAATATTAGAATGTCGCAGAAAAATTTGCTTTCGCAAAATCAACGACAGATTCGTGTCTGTCCTTTTCTTTGTGCTCGTCGCTCGATAAATTGAAGCATCGAACGCACGCAATATTTTCTGTGACATCCCAATAGCAAAATTTACAATCTTACGAAGATAATTACTAGCAGAGTGATAATCTAAACGAATAAATACGTACGTGAATAGATATTTTATTGATTCCCGGTGAACATTAAACAGTGAGAGTCTTCGACAGTCGACGTGTTAATCCGACTCGCGCGGTTAATTAATTAAAAGAGGAAAGTGGTAGCGGGGTCAGGGATTCGTATCAGTCGTGGAATGTGTTTACGAGCGAAGTGTTAGCTGTTAGTTTATTTTTAGCAGTTCCTTACTAGGTATTAGGAATTCATTATCCGTGGGGTTTTTTTTTTTGCTCGCGAATGATCGTCTGCTATTTTGATTTTTCCTTGCAATCTATTCGATGCATCTGCGGCTGATTTTCGGTGATCAGCGACACAATGATCGTTCCCTTTCGACGATCCAAAAATGTATAACTGAGACGATTAACATCGTTTTGTTTTTCTTGATCCAGTAAACATGATGATTCGATGATTTTTTGTATTTGATACGATTAATTGGCGATCGACATGGTCTGTCGGGATGAAGAATGGCAGAGTTGGGCAGAATACGATCGAATTGAAATTTAAAAATAGCCACGTGATGACATTGATCGATTAATCCTACCTAAACTATAACGAATGATGGATGTAATTTTCTTGTTTAACCAGAAGAACTCAATTGCCGCCCAACTCTGATCAACGATCATAATGAATTCGATCGATCGTCTCGAGGATGAAGAATTGAATCGACTAAATAAAGTTCGAATCAGCAAAGAGAAGAGACTTCTGGCGGGGGACAGTTTTATTCTTCGCCCACAAATGGGACCATAACCTCTTTTCCATCGAAACAGCAAAAATATTCTGGTTCTATGCCATTATTACACTTGAACACAAAGAACATATATTCTCGTGGATGTGTTTCATCACATACATACACACACACACACACACACACACACACGAGTCTCAAACGAACTATACTATCCTCGCACGACAGATGACACCTAAGAGTCTAGGATTTTTCGATCTATATCTCGTGCCACGCGATCAAAACCCAGTTGGATCGGCTCTTTCTTCGCGTTTAAAAGGATTCTGTTTATCGTACACGCTAAAAACCTGTAATTTCCCTTTATAGATGCAACACGTCGATGAAGAATCAAAAAGATCCGGCTTTGTACGTTTTCGTTCACGAACGCAAGAACCGGTCGGTTCCATTCTTCGAAACGCCCGCGTACAAATAAACTATAAGTTGATCCTTATCCCCTAGAATTTTGATATGATGTAGTGTGAGTATATTCCTCGTGGACTGTGTACGTATGCACGTGTGTTCGTCGCTTAATCGTCTGCACTGCCTTCAAGAATAACCACATTTCTATATTTTCTTCGACGTTTCATTTACCTCGATAATCTTCCACGTTCCTTTTTTTTTTATCGTGTTCCGTGTTCGTTTAAACAGCAACGAGAATCAGAGGCAAGGGTAATTTCTGTAAATTCTCCTCTCGTCTGTACAATACACTATATAATACGGCTAAGGTTAATCCGCGTTCCACGTGTTTCAACGATCACCCAGAAGCACTCCGTGGCGGCCATGTTTTTTTTTCCCATCGCAATTTCAACACGACTTCTTTCTGTGTTTTCGTAATGCTAGTTCGACAGGAAGGTATCGTACACGTTCAACGTTTTAAAACGAACAAAGAATAACGGGGGAGGGGGGGGCGTGCTCGAATATAGGACACAGAGAAAGAGAAAGACTACAATTTGGAATTTTATATCTCGCGAACAAGATGGCGCCGAGCGCGCTCCGCATGGAACACTTTTCCTCTTTTTTATTTTTTCGTTACTTTATACAAGGGATCATCATTGTTCATCTCGTTCCGTTTTATTACCACTGACTCGCCGAAGATAATCGACGGGGCTCGAAAATTCAGGAACGATTGCTCCGCCCCCGAAACGAATGGAACGCGCGCGGCGAACGGTGGTTTCCGGCCGATTTGGATCTCGCACATCACGCGTCGATCGTTTTTCTCTTTCTTCTCGCCGACCAAGTTATCTCCCCAAGATTTTAAAGTAATATTGCAACGTCAGAAAAAAAAAAAGGAACTGTACAACAAGCTTATTACAGAGCGGCCTCCTCTTTCTTTCACATTGGGACACGGTTATTCGTCTCGCCCTCGCGTTCGAACCGACATTAAACGGAATTCAAGCTTTCGACTGCTGTCTGAAATGATTCACGAACGATGGATCGATCTATCGGGATTGCCTGGATCCAACGAGGGAACACCGTCTGCTTTCTTGTTCTCTTCTGATAGTCCATGTGTGTATTTCACGTGTGATGTGTTTATTCGCAACTTGAGTTAAAATCTTACTCGCTAAACAATTCGTCAGTTTATAAACAGCGTGAGCTCGGAGACAATTTACCGGTTGTAATTGTCACTAAAATCGAAGAGAAACAAGGGGACGGTGGTAGGGGGATAGAACGAAGGGGAATATACAAAAAGAAAAAAAACATTAAACTGGAAACGTATGAACAAATGGAGGTGGTACATTGCGAAACCTCGATTAACCACCCGATCGTAAATCGGACGAAGGTATAATAAAATGCTAAGTCATTCGGCGTTGGCTAGCCCCATAAACCCATTGCATGGCGTATATGTAGCACGGGCTATTGTTTAAAGAATATTGTTACAAGATGTAGCGTTACGAACAAGTGGTTCGTGGAATTAACCCTTTACTGTTCCTTTTGTACAATTTGATCTTTTCAGTTGAGGGCAAAAATGTTCGAATATACAGGAAGATTAAGAAATAATTTAATTCTTTCGAAATGTTGACACACTTCGAGGAGTCCTATATTTACAGCTTACATAATCCGTAAAATACATACATGTATGGTTTAATAGTACGCAAAAATTACTGAAAAAATTCAACGAGAATTTCAATGAAATTTGATCATCTTTGTAAATTTCTTTCGGACAAAGAAACCTGCTCAAGTTTAATTCCTCTCGCGGTATAATGGTCACGCGACGAAGCCGCCATTTTGATTCCTTGCCGACACAACGATTGCAGCCATAAAATCTCACGACGCGTGCTCTCTGAAATAAAAGCCTCAAAGGAAACATTACAAAAGATTCGCTCGAAAATTATAAAAGGTTTTCTATAGGCTATCGCAAAGAAACCTTTCGAGAATATCACATAAACGAAAGTTCAAATACGTCAGTAAAGGGGTTAATTTCACCCGCGGCAATTCAAAAAACGTTGCTTTTCATACACGTATGTATTTATTTTCCACTTCGTCGTTCCACCGTTTCGTATAATTCAACCACTATTCTCATAAAACGTAACAACTTCGTGAAAAATTCGAAACGACCTCGGAAACGTTTCACCGCGACTTATACACTGAGAAAATAAACACCCGCGAGAAACGTAATTTCGCGAGAATTCGTATTACCTCATTAGGTTCTTTTTCTAATACAGACGAAGAAACACGTTTAATCAACGAACACTTGCCGCCTCGGTTCACGGAAGTTTGACGACGGGAATACGTCCGGCACGGGTTTATGAGCCGAGCGAATACCAAGTGGTAGAGACAGAGAAAGAGAGAAAGAGAGATAGATAGAGAAATAAGAGAGAGAAAGAGAGACCTCGAGCGCGCGAAAACGATGTGAGGTTCGTCACGGAATAAATTAAATATAACACGATTCACTGTTTTAATTCCGATGAGTTTCCACTACGTAAGAACATTATATATATATACACGTGTTTATGCATCGGTAAGAGTCATAGTTACATTACAGTAGTAGTATAGATTCGAGTATAGAATAGGCTACCAACTTATCATAAAACGGTTTGGTTTTACCTAACTATATAATAATCAATACTTCTGTACGGGGTTGGGGATACAGTCGCCTATAACGTTTCAAACTGATCGTTGGCTCTGACGAAATCACGTTCTAGGCCCCGATCGATTAAAAATTGGACGGGTGGAAACAGAATAAAGAGTGGGGACGAGGGACCATAGAGGGTCGAAAATCGTCAAGAAGTACGGGAAACAGGGTTGGGGCGGGAGGGGGCGCACAGAGGGCGACAATAGGGTAAATCGAGGGTGGGGAGGGGTGGATGGGACGAAGGATCTAACAGGAAATATATTTGAGTTTTTATTTAATCATAACTACCATTAGAGATCCAATGTTCATCATCATCATCATTTTTTTTTGTTCTCCTCTGTAATCTTATCCAGAATACTAAACTCTCAAAGTGGCGTCATAATATTACTTTAAATTCATGATAATAAAGTCTATCGTGTATGAGAGTTTAACTGCGTGTCAACATGTCTCATACCATTATATATATATATATATATTCATATTTATATATATATATATATATATAATATAATTTTAATAATAGTATGTATATATATAATATATTCACTACCTGCATATCACAACATAAATTTACTCTCTCCTCGACACCGTTCAGAACGCGTACACTCGCACTCATACTTACGCAACATACATATACATACATACTCACACATCATACATACACGCATAACTCACACACACACACACACACACACACACACGATCCCGTTTCTACGTAAATTACTATATAACGCTGCGGTAGTCGGATAGTGGTTGAGTTTCTAAGCATTGTAGCGTCTGTACCAGAGATAGAGAGATAGAGAGAGAGATAGAGACCGCGTATCCCCTCATTCCCGTTTGCTCTGCTACCTCTAATCTCTTTCGGAATTTATCTTACTAATTTTTTACGCTTTTTCCTTTTTTATACTCGCTCCACTTTCTTCTATATTTCCTCGTCCATCATCCTGTGTCCGCGGGAGATTTCGACGCGTGGACGGGGGAACGTACGACGACGGGATGCGTGTCTCACGCCCCCCTCCCCGGATATGAAAAGCAGAGATCGGGATCGCGTGACACGCTGTAAAATTCTTGTGGGCCAGGGGTAGGTCCCATGTCGCTTGTGGTCACACGTCCCGACCGTCGAACGCCGTCGAACGTCCGTCATACACGTCGTCGATTATCAACGAAACGATCGTCATCCCTTTTGTCGCGATCATCGATTCTCTCAACGCTAAACCTACCATCACCGGTCAAATAACCGATTTTGCCGTTCTAATTCCTATCTTTTTGAACGGTTCGGTAGGTTTGGTGTTAACGTGGCGTGGATCGCGCACACCGATCCTGCCATGTGTGCACAAACCTTCGCCACCTTGTAGAACACTGGATCAACTGTGTGTGTGTGTATGTGTGTGTGCTACTTGTGCTCTGTGTGTGTATGTTTGTGAATGTTGCGTGTGTCCTTATATATTTGTGACTGGACACCGGCGACATCGATAGTCCGTTCCCCAGGATCGACGTGGCCGATGATAAACAATATACAGATCCTGCCTACACGATTTCTCGCCCCGAAACCACGGATGGATGACGATCGAGTCGTTCACCAGGGATTTTGGTGGATCGTTTTCCTCTGTTTCCGGTTCCCAGATGCCTGCTGCGGAGGTCACGACCGACAATGACCACGTTTTTCCCCGCGATCGACGACGACGAACGGTAATTATTACGACATCATTGCTCATTCTTTCATTTTCGTTTCCTTTCGTTTCATTTTTCTTTTATGTTCGTCGATCTTTTTTTTTTCTTTTTTGTTTTTGCTACACTGCTCACGAGCTCAGCCACTAACAATTATACACCAGCATAAAACCTTAGAAACCATGGCTCAGCCTGAACGCGCGTGGCGCTTGTCGCTGGTCATCGCGTTGCACAGACACCGCCTCCACGTGATCCAGGGCAGCCGGGGGGGGCGAGTTTTTCTTTTTGTTTGTTTGTTTGTTTTTCTCTTTTAAACTATGCAACAGGAAGCTGAGCAGCAACTACTTCCGCCGCCTTTACTCTTTTGCCTCTGATCTGTAACAGAGAGATTCGCAGGTTCGTTAGCAATGGAAGGGGGAAAAACTTTCACCGAACGAACGGAAATTACGGTCCGGGTCGCGATTCTCCGATAGAGAGAAGAGGTTGGGGATTTTCAGGCCTCGTTTGGGTCGAGGGGGTAATCCAGGCGTGATACGGAGTAAACTAGGACGATGTGACTTATTATTTTTTTTTTTTAATGAATAGACTCGTATGCAGTGTAGTGTTCAATTTACAAGTAATTAGGAACATTTTCACGGGTCTGTTGTAAGGTGTGTTGATGGTAATCGATATTTTAGTTGATCTAGGTTGTAATTTTGTACTTTGATAAACATTTATTGTTACTGAACAAGTTATATTGTAAACGTTTCTCATTGTAATCTAGAATAAAGTGTGGGTATGTTCAGCAATCCTAGTTGTTATTAACCATTTAAATCTATTTAAAATATATTTATGAATATTAATGACATTCGATTGGTAGGTTATTCTAAAAATTATGTTTCGCGATTAGTTGATTCTGTATATGTGACGTATACGTCACACTGGGCGTTAAAGGATTAAATTTCATCCTTTCATAATGAACAAACTAAAAATGAAAAAGAAATTTCAGCTTCAATATGTACGAAAAAAAAAAAAAAAAAACTGAGCACTAAAATAGCTTTACCCATCCAAATATCATAGATATATCTACAGAATCTAAGATCAACATTTTGTATTCATTCAGTGCAATCACATACTATTCTAACAAAATTCTAAAATACCACAAAAAAAACTCGTTAAAGCATTTTTCACCGTTTTAAAGCCACTCAAAAAATTCTTTCCTGACAAAATTAAGAGATAATGAACTCGAGAGAGGCACAAAGATTCATCCTGATCCATGAGCGTGCGTTTATCATTTCAACTAAATGCGGCGTTTCAGACGCAGCAAATCGCAATTTCTTTCCTCGGAGCGGACTGTGTAAACCGTGGTAATATTTTTCTTTTCTCCGTTCCGTTCCACCACGAAGGAAAACGCTGTGGGATAAGTATCGCTATGAATTGTTGTGCCTACCGAGCGTAAAGGATATTTGTCAGTGGCGAGGACAACAGCAACGGAGGCTGTATACCTCGCGAAGTGAATGGCAATTAAGGTAACGTCAGCTTTGTCACTGGGACTTCTTACTTTTTGTTCGTTCTGTCGTTTTCTTATCAAGATGATCGTACCGGGATAGGCGCATGGGAACGAGGATCGTGGATCATGGAAATGTCACTGTGGATTTTGGGTACTCTGTGACATTCGTGCTAGCTGTCGATGATACTGTCTGTTTCATCGGGCTGGATATGCATGTATTCACCATCTGGCAGAAGACCTGTAATTGTCACAGATTTCTACTGTACGAGAGTTTTAGATTGTTAATTTGGCACTTGGTATTTTCGTTTATGATTTAGGTTCAAAAATAAATGAATACCGATCGTATATAGATGAGTGACAGGAAATTGTGATTATGAATTGTAATTTGAGTTATGGTAGTTTCGATGTAATGATGTGGCGATAAGGAGAAACAGAGCAATTGATCTATCAAGGCTGAATGTATTCACCGTTTCATAGAAGACCTCTAATTGCCAGAGATTTAGACTGTACTAAAGTTTTCATTGTTAATTTGGCACTCTATATTTGGAATCATGATGTAGGTTCAAGCATATGGAAATGAATACTGATCGTCTTTTACGAATAGGTGACTAGTAGGAAATTGTGAGACATATAACTGTAATTCGAGTTAAGGTAACTTTAATGCAATTATACGACTATAAAGGGAAATAGAGCAATTGATCTATCAAGGCTACACATCCCACTGCGTTGGGTAATATGTATCCTCATCCGAATAGAAGCAAGTAAATTAGTCCTTAATTACCTGAATCTCCATAGACATCCGCGATCTAAGAACAAGTTACGTTCACTATTCGATCACGTATGTTTACGGAGATTCTCCTCTTCTTAACTGATCAAAGAAGAGTTCACTTCGTCGATTAAAGTAGTTAATTAAAAAGCATCTCTAATATCAAGAGGAATGAATTAATTTTCGGACAGTAATTAATGATTTTTATATTAGAGTCAGTGAAGAAATTTGTAAAAAAAAAAACTAATAAAAATTGTAGAAAACTTTCTGTAACCAGAAAAAGAAGAAATGATAAGGTAATCCATTATTAAATACGGTGCAATAGCTCCCGAAGCGAGAAATTTACTCCAAGACTGTTTATAACTTCAAAAATATTCATTTTTTTACCCATGTATATTAGGACTTTTTTTCATCATTTGGAAAGTACGATCTACCCCAGAAGTTACGAACCCTTTTTACGTTCCACCCTGTATAAACCCACAGTCTGCGTCTTACGAACTTTCCAAGACTTTCGACTCCCGTCAATTACGGACTTCGAAACAAGAGAATACCTGCAGTTATCTCGAGAGCCCAGGTAACAGGATTAACGAACGTTGCCACGATAAGAAAAAACAATGCGTTCGGCCTTGCGTAAATACACGCCGCGATATTTATTCTACGGATCACGCGAGCCTTGTACAATGAACAAAAAAACATAATGGTACTTCTTCGCGGTTCCCTGAACCAGGGTTTTGGGGGAAAAATCGGACAAAAAGGAAAACGATGTCGGATTTACCTTGAGAATTAGGCTCGGGAAGATTCTCTCGCGGGACCAGATGCATCACCGTGGTTTTCCCGAAAGGAAGCCCAAGAGCACCGAGCGTGACATTGCTGTGCAGAAAACGTCCCTGGTAGATTAACCGCAGGATCTCCGCTTTGGCGACCGCCTCTTCCGCCCAGTCTGAAAGACAAAGAGTATTCGGTATCAGTGCACGACCTTGCCACCATTGATTATATGTTCCTGGTTGTTTTTCTTTTTCTTTTGTTTTTTTTTTTTTTTTGGTCCCTGGTACACCACAGGAAGGGATGAAGAGAAAACAAGGAATTTCGCGGTCGTTGGCCCGGAAAACGTGGATACATCGTCGTTCTACGTTGCCACCGTCCCTGTCCCTTCACCCTTTTTTCCGACGTCGTACGCTACGGCGAACACAACGGAGTTCAACCCTTTATATTTAACCCCCTCGTCGTCTGGGCGTTTCACGGACCGATAATGAACGGAACGCGAATTTTTCCGTTGAAATTCGTGATTCGTTTCGATGAGCTCGCGATTGTTCTTTGGTAAGCTGTTCGACGGGTTGGCTTTTTTTTTTCAGTTGGGAACGCTCAAGGGGGAATAAATAATGGCGAACGTTATCGTTGCACTGCGGATTTTATACAGTTATAGCGACTGGAAGTAAAGGAAAGAAATAACTAAATGTTCAGTTTGGTTTTGGTAAAAAACATTTGTTCGGGTAGGAAGCTTATATTTCCGTAAATATGTGAATTTGCATAAACACCCGCGATATGGTGATTCTGATATGATTTGTATTAACTAGATATTCTGTCTAGTAAATGCTGATTCACGATTTCGTTAATGATCTGATTGTTTTGTAGTAAAATATAGATTTTAATAAACATTAATGAAACGTACTATCAACGTAATGATTCACTCGGTACAGGAACTAAATTCCTATCTGATTTTCATTCACTAATGTCCTAAAATTCTAAATTTTCATAAAAACCCGTAGCAATAATCTATGAAAAAATGTCTATTTCGCCATATTTGTTCGAAAACAAACCAGGCAAAATTTATATTCGCAGAAAGAGTTGGACGTAGTTTTCCAATTTACTCCCCTGAAATATGAAAAATCAAATATTTACATCGAACGATCGCAGAGTAGTAGTATGTTGTACACGGTTAACAAATCGCAGCCAAACGGCCTTTTTCCAGTCGTTCCCCGAGCTTTCAGCGTCTCTCTCTCGTAAGTGCAGGCCTCGTCGCAGAAGGAAGATCCGAGGTTTTTATTACACGCTAAGCGGTCCCCCCTTATCTTTATGTAATCGCGACGATTTGCATGGAGGAAGCCAGGAGAGTCTCCCTGCGACAGGATTACACTGCTCGCGACGTAATTCGAGACAGTGAATACTGTACTCCGTCCCCGCGTTTCCCGGCGCCTTAATGAATTTCCAAGGAGTGCCGAGCTAGTTAATGGAACATTCCATCTTACGGTCTAGTATCGCCGCGGCATTTTTCTGTCCGCCCCCTCCCCCTTGGAAACCGAAGTGATTCGTGGTGTACAACGGTTCACAAACGGACCAGAAGTTGCGGTAGTGGCCAGGTGAATGTATTTCAATATCAAACGAGTTCCTCGAATGATTTACATCCAGAGATCCGATTTTTCTATCGTTTTAAGGAATTACGATAAAAGACCAACCCGTCAGAGTATAAATTCTTCTTTTTTTTTTTTTTTAGATATCTAGAGTTTTGTTTCTTCTGTTTTTCTTTTTATTTATTTATGGAACGGGTACACGCACAGGTTCGTGGTAATGAAGGAAAAGGGAACACAAAGTATGGGAACCGGTCGATCTTCGTATTTTCACAGGCAATTCTCCGCAACGGTACACAAGCGAGACGATATAGCTTTCCCGGTGACGGTTTCGAAATTTTGTTACCCATTTTCCACGGTACACGCGTCTAATTGAATTGTATCGCAGTGATATGTCCCACGATAGACAGCGATGTTTCACGCCCTATATTTTCCGCGAGTGTTTTCAATTCTGGTATTTTCGAACGGTGTCTGGACAGTGATGAACGACCACCGGGTATTATCCCTGAAGTACTGCTGTAACAATGCATCGCGGAATATTTATTCTCCCCGTTCTATTTAGACTGAATATGGATTCAAGAAAAAGACGACTGGTCCTCGAACAGAAATATCATTTTATGACTTTTGTTGGGTTTCTTTTTTCTTTCTGGGAACACTGAACACGTTTGACACATTATTTGCAGTGATGCCCTCTCTAAATGTTGTATCACAGATATTACTTTCGTCTTTTTGGGTAACCAATGTAGGTTCAGATCATCGATTCCTGGGTTGCTTCCCTCCCTCTGTTGTCGCTGTTCGGACCCAAGCGACATTTAGGGAGGTCTAGCCGTTATATTTCTCTAAATAAATAGGTATTTACCCCTTGCCCTACGATTTTTTTGACGTCTGCAGACTTAAGGATTACATTGTTGTCGATAGTTTCCCAGAAACGAAAGGAATTCTGTACTTATCACAACTGTATTTTTACTGTAAAAGTTAAACCGAATAATATTCTTCTTTGTTGGATCGAATTTAAAATCGTCAACACGAGTCTGACTCGATTTTATAAGGCAAGGGGTTAAGTAAAGATAGAAAATAATTAGGACGCAACACGAAGAATTTGGATAGATTCTTATGATGCGTAATCGCTATTTGATGATGGTAATATTGAGCAATATCATTTCATCAAGATTCTCTGCAAGGTGGATTCTGTCGACAGTAAATTCGTATTACGTTGGAAGATTGCACGGTTTCGATCATTTCATCCGATGAGGGGCGTTAGTTTATCAAAGGTGATCGGTAATAGCTTACCTTCCGGCCAGTTCTCAAACACATGGTGCGCTATGTCCCCCGCGGAGTCGCTTGGACTGAATAGGAACTCTTTTGTCTTACCGCTGACAAGAATGAGGCGTAGATTTATCTGCAACATACAAGTACGTAACATCGTTAAAATACTGTCCATACGAATGTTAGTTGTAGTAGTTAATTAAAGGGAATAAATCAAATATGACAACAGAAAAGCATACAATAGTAGATATCTCGTTAAGTGCTAGTGGTTTAGGACTTGTGACGAGAATTTAACGAGTTCTTCCAGCACTTTCTATTCATTATAATTATTTTTTCGTCAAGCTTGCGAAGCTGTCAAGGTATTATACGCTTCGCAGAACGATAATTCACCGTAACATTTGTAATTAATATGAGCAGTATAATTCTTAGACTGCTGATTTTACGAACGTATAATTTACATGAATTAACAAATTAGAATCAAACGGAAATTTCTATTCGGATTAATGTACATTTTACCATTATTGTTTGTCTAATAACGTCTTTGACAGGTGAATTACAATACTCCCTAAATCCCATTTCTTCACATATATTTATACAATTGCGAATCTTCTTAAATATTTGCAGTCTGACGATTCTAACTTTAAACATTCTTCTTTAAACATTAACCTTTCAAAATAAACGAAGTAAACACAGAACAGAGCTTTCAGCTTCAATTTCGACGAAAAAGTAAATATTGAGACAGCTGTACGTATTTATCAAATATCATAGACAATGTTTACACAATCTAAGATCAATATTTTCTGTTCATAAAAACAAAAAATAGTGAATTCTCCTAAACATTCGCAGTCTAACAATTCCAATGCACCTCTGTTTCACGAAAAGCAACATTTCACGCACAATCACACGTCCTTAATAAAATTCTAAAAAAAAAATCACACTTCAAAACTGTGAACTCTCCTAAACATTCACAGTCCAAGAATTCCAACTCACCTCTATTACACTAACATCAACATTTTCTGTTCTGTACAATCACGCGTCATAACAATATTTAAAAAAAAAAAACACAATTCAAAACTGAATTTTCCCAACCATTCGCAATCTACCAATTCCAACGCGTCCCTACGTCACTAACAAGATCACACCGAAGTTCCATCTAATCCCTCAACAGAGCAAACCTCCTCCATCCTTCAGCCGCTAATACCCTCAAGTCCCACCCAGCACTTGATCGCGTAACATTGACTGGCAAAGTAAATTCGGTACGAAAGTTCCGGCAATATATCATCTACAGCAACCCCCTCCCCTCGTTCCTCACCCTTCTCCCGCGGAAGTACACACGTGTCGTAATTCTCGTTCTTTCGAAACCCTCGTTCCCCGGCCCTTAATCTTCATTTCCTCGCTGGTGGTACGCTTTTGACTTCACAAATGTTAGGACCCTCCTCCGACTCGTATCTCTCCGTCACGTGTTACACTGGAGGGGTTGGTTGGTTCGTTCGGGGGTTGCTTTGCGTTTCAAGGACAAAGAATGAAGAGAGCACACTCGTGGAACGTTGAAAAAGAACAGGGGGGAACGAAAAAAAAAAAAAAAAAAAAAAAAAAAATGAAGAGCATCGCGACACGGTGTTTACGGTCCACGGTGTACACACCGTATATGTATATACATACGACCCGCCTTCTTATCTATCTTTACCCCGGAGAGAGGCCGTGCGAAAAGGAATTAGAGGCGACTTTGTACTAAACCCTTAAGCCGGAATGTCGGCTTCCAGTCACGTACTCGCGCCTCCCGCCCAGTAAATATGTCGAAAAGCGAAATTTTTCTATGGCAGCCAGTGGGTTAAGAGACGCTACCCGCTTCGCGGGTTGGGACCTTCCTGCGGGCTTATCTTGGTGGTCCAAGAGTCGGGTCGGATCACCGTTGGAAATTTAATAGCGCTGTAATTTTCCATTATACAAGGGGGGTTGTGCACTGTGGCTCGTTGGAAAAACGGGCGACCTACTGGATATAATAGGTAAATTATCGTTATCCCCGTGGCATTAAGGTGAAAAACACTGAGCTTCTGTAATTGTTTTTACATCGGAAGTGAATTCGATGCGGTTGATATGAACTACGGAATGGTTGGAATTTTTATAAAGGTGTAGGAATATTTACAAATGATGTAAACAAAAATATTTTCTTAAAGATTTAAGGTTGAACAAAAACCCCTGCAAATTTGAGAAAGATTCATTAAGTGGTTTTCTTTTAATAAATTACCGAAGATACTTTTACATTTCGGGCCGTTACGGTGTTGTCCTCCTTTAACCCCTTGCCCTATGATTTTCTTGATGACCGCAGTCTCCAGAATTACTTAATCGTCAATAGTTCCCCAGAAACAAAAGGAATTCTTGTACTTATCGCAATTGTACATTTACTCTATAAATTAAATATTAATATCAGCAAACTAGTATTTCACTTGGACTAAAAGAAAACGAATAATACTTTTGTTTGTTGTATCGATTTTGATATCGTCACCACGAGTCTGCCTCGCTGTTACAAGGCAAAGGGTTAACGATAAGTCGTTACAACATACCTCGAAACCCGACGAAATGAAAAATTCTTCAGAGACTCAGTGTATTTCACGAAAAATAACAAAGATCCACGACTACAGTCAAACGGTCCTCGCAAGATTCCGTTAACGAGGCTTCAATTGGTGTCGTCGGGATCGTGGCGTGAAACGGACACGTTTCGTCCGCGGGGACAATTAAGAACGTATTAATCGTCTCGGTTTCTCCGTTTTTCGTTCTCCCTTCCATCGTTCCAGACGAGACGAATTACGGTCACCGGCCTCCCTTTCTCTCTCCTTCGTGGCGACGGGCGCAAATTCAATTACCGTCTCGCGCGAAGACCGGCCAACATAAATAATTACCCGAGGAGAGAAGCCGGAGAACGGGGATGGCCAAACCCCCTCCCTTTCCTCGCTGGTGACCCCTTGCGGTTCCTGCGGCCGCGAGAATCCGCTGCGGCATAAATCATTGTCGCGAATTATCGCCCGACGGCACGTAAGCCGGACCCCCGGCTCTGCCCTTCCAAGTTCCGACTACACCACCCTCGTCGTTGTGCTGCGAACTCGAGGCGTGAAATTTCGCGAGCTCTCCGTGCTTTGTCGTTGTGGCGGTTATCAATGGGACCTCTGATGGGCTCCAGACCCTTTTCGTGTGTCACTATTAAGCCTTGAATTGCGGATTACTACAGAATTCAACGTATAGTCGACAATATTGTATACAATATACAGTGGGTGTCAAAAGTATTCGTAGTCCATTTAAAACGGAACAACTTTTTTAAAATTGCTCCTAATGACTTGAGTGCTTTTGTGAAGTTAGAGACAATAGATTACTACAGAATTGAACGTATAGTTGACAATATTGTATACATATACAGTGGGTGTTAAAAGTATTCGTAGTCCATTTAAAACGGAACAACTTTTTTAAAATTGCTCCTAATGACTTGAGTGCTTTTGTGAAGTTAGAGACAATAGATTACTACAGAATTCAACGTATAGTTGACAATATTGTATACATATACAGTGGGTGTTAAAAGTATTCGTACACCATTTAAAACGGAACAACTTTTCTTAAAATTGGTCCTAATTACTTGAGTGCTTTTGTGAAGTTAGAGAGATTAGTTTACTAAATGATGTGTAAACAAAAATTTAAATAGTTGCAATTGCTCGGAATCGCGAAGAAAATAGTAAAGGTCGTTTTTTATCATTTTTTAATCCGAGGCTATAATGAAAATTTAATAAATACATATGGAAGATTTATGTTAGTTACATACCATATATTTCCAGAAAATCTGTTTTTCGTATTTCTTAGCTGTCAACCCCTAGGAGAGCAAAAGAATTAGGATGTTGAAAAATAAAAGTTACCCTAATGTCCCACGTCAGATTAGCTTCACAGTCAGGTGTGAATTTTTCGATATGTGTAGGTGTTATCGTGGATCGTAGACGATTGGTGTCTTTATTCTGATAGATCAGATGACGTTACTGGTTTAGAGGAAACTAGGAATCATCGAGAAGTAGTAACCAATTATAGTCATGTTCTGCCAATGTCTGAGTTTCTGCGTAGGCCCAGATATGGGTATCGCCTGCAGGCTATGAGCTCAGCGTTGAACATGTTAAATGTAATATTTCTATATTATTTATCTCTTATTGCCTAAATACTATGTATAGTGAGTCACTTATGCCCTTTTCTTGGTAATAATAATTTTTAAAGTCGTGTCCAAAATCGAACGATTAATAAACGTATCAAGGAATCCGATGGGTTGAATATTAACACTTCTCTGACTGGTAGTCTATTAAGACTTTCAAATTTCAGTGCATATACATAAGAAGTCTACTAATTTACCCTTAGATCAGAGTTAAAGAAGAAATTGTTACTTGTTATTTTTCAAGAATGTAATTTGCTACAGTGACTAAACTGTTTAATAACAGTTCCTATCGTCAGTAAAACTAAATCTACTAAATAGCAGCCCGTAGATAACGTGTTAAGAAGAATCTTATTATTATAAATCTTCACTAAGGTATGCACAATAATGCATAAAATGCATAACCTAAGGGTTTACTATCGTTGAAGAAGAATATTTTTCACACGTACCCCATAAGTGCAAGCGAAGCGTGGATAGCAAATGCTTGGTCGAATGATAAAACCGATTGCAAAGAGGGACGATTCTTGGTCGGTGAAACGGTACCCTGCTGCCCGGAAGAAGACCCTAAACGTCTGATTCGAGGGTTATGGCGGGAGGTTGGGGACCCATAAATTGCAGGACAGTCGGCGACAGGGAGACCGCGATGAAAATTTGAAGGGTGGTGGGTTTTATTATCTGTGAGAGAAAGTTCTGGTGATTCTGCTCAATGTGTTCCACGTCCAAACGTCATCTGTGGCTCATCGTTTTCCGTTGAGGGGAATTGATGATTTTAATACAGTGTAATATCTCAATTCTTATCATTTGATGCAATTACTTTGTTAGATAGCAAACTTACAAGTGTCAAGTTTATGAAAAAATATTGTATAACTATATAGGAACCACAGTGTGGCCACCGTGGTTATACAGGGTGAACCACGAATCGTGATCAGTAGAGATTACTCTGTTATTAGCAGTCC